GATATTTATCAATATCTGAACGCTGACTTCAATCACGTGGTGGTGCTATACTGTACTGTGAGTATGTCACAATTTAAATTAAGCGTTTGCTAAACATAATAACGCGATTATCCTACTGATTTGTCTTTCAGGATGGGTATCGAGCGAGTGCCACAGTGGCATGCACTCTGTTGATCCATTGCAGAGCCTTAATCACTGTTGAGGAGGCGATCGCTCTATTCACAACGAGACGTTGCCAGCCGCCGCATTTGCAACCCTCCGAACTACGCAGTATTAATTACATGAGTATGCTCAGTAGCGATCGACCTCCGCATACGAAACCACTGGTTCTCCGTTCTGTTATCATACAGCCAGTACCGTTATTCACCAGAGCGAAAGATGGTTGTCGACCATACATAGAAATTTATAGTAACGGCGCGTTGGTCTTCACGACGAAGAAAGCTAATTACGAAGAAATGAAGCTGTTTGGAATGATGGAGGGCAAGGTCTGCTTGATTCTAGGAGACGCGGCTGTACGCGGTGACGTCACTCTAGTAATATACCACGCCAGACAGCAGCTCGGCCGTGTAATTGGTATTAAAATTGCCTCATTACATTTCCATACTGGCTACGTGCCCATCACTGAAAGCGCCTTGACATTTGAGAAACGCGACCTGGACGATGCTCCCGAGATCGGTGGCAAGTTCTGCATTGTGCTGAATGTCATGATAGGCGAGGAAAATTCAAAACTATCGAGGGTGCCGGCGCCGTGGGAAGCGGAAACATGTATCAAGCTCGTACCGGATCCACTGTTTGGCTCGACATTGGAAATGGAAGAAACTCTGGAGAACTTCAGGACAACTTCTCATCAGGAAGAGGTAGAATGTTTTGTTATTGTTAGATATACATTATAATTATTTAGTTTTTTTACATTGAAGAGTACAAAACATTGAAAAGTTGATGATAATCGATAATAATTGACGTTATTGCAGGCTCAGAAAGTATCGTCAAATGAAACCGACAAGATTTTACAACACGAAGCGGTGCCTCAACAACAGCTGGAACAGCCAAAGGAGGAAAAATCAATCAAGATCGAAGAGAATAGCTTTCAGGAGGCTGATTTGTTGAATCTCGGCATGCCGGATAATACCAATAATACCTCAAATACTCTCGCCACCGCGGCGGCAAATCCAGAATTAGATATCTTTTCTAGTTCTAGTCAGAACGAAAGCGATCTCTTGGGTGGTTTCGGCGTGTCGGCGTCGCAGGCTGAGGCCGCCAATTCGATACCCTTAATTAACAATAACGCCTCGACTGACTTACTGTTCGGACATGACAATTCCGCGACGAGGAGCAGCAACACAAGCAATTTGAATAACAGCAATTTGAACATGAATGATTTATTATTCGGGCAACATCAAACAACGTCAAGCAAGGAAGTGAACGACCTGATGTTTGATCCACTGGGTGGGAATGTTTCAGGCAATCTTCTCGGCGATATTGCGACAGATACCGCGAACACCGCCAAGAGCCCAAATTCTGAAGAGAATTTTCCACGAAATGCCAGCGTGCCGAATTTCGCCGCTCAGGCTAATAAGGATCCATTCGCGAATTTGACCGGATCATTAGGCGCTGGTCTGGCGGGCAGTTGGAACGGTACGCCGAGAAATTCGAATACCCCACAGTCGGCAAGTCCAGCGCCTGCGAGCACGCCGATTCATTCCAGCCCGAACACAATGCACAAAACCAATGCGACGACCAACGAGACCAACGGCGCAAACAGCGGCGCCTCGGACGTATTTAGTGGGAAAGCGAAGGAAAAGACGAGCGGCGATGCGTTTGAGGATCTGCTCGGTAGTCAGGGATATAATTTCTTTAGTTCGCGCAAGGCGGATAAAGATAGCCCGAAGACAATAAATCAGATGCGAAAGGTGGAAGCGGCCAAGTCGATGGATCCCGATAGATTAAAAATCGCTGAATGGACGGAGGGAAAAAAAGGAAATTTGCGAGCTTTACTCTGCTCCCTACATACGGTTCTATGGCCGGAGGCTGAAAGGTGGCAACGTTGTGAAATGCATCAATTGGTCACGGCTGCGGACGTCAAAAAAGCTTATAGAAAAGCTTGCTTGGCTGTACATCCAGACAAGGTATTTGAATCTTGTCAAATATCATTATTTATACAATCCTTTTTATTGTGCAAATATCAATGTTTTTTTATTATTTGCAAATAGTAACATCTTTTAATTTTCTAAATGATAATTTAATAAATGATATTAAGATAATTGGTTAATAATAACAAATTAAACAATAGAAATATATTTTTAATTAGTATTTTTTGAAATAGTACAATAAGTTGCATGAATAAGTTGGCAAAGAGGACAATAAAAAATCAGTTACTCTAATAATTATTTTAATAATTAAACATTAATTTTGTTAAAATAGTTTTTAATTCAAAAGAAAAAAATTTAATGGGAATCTGTTTCTATGTTGCAGCAAGCAGGCACAGCAAATGAGAATATAGCAAAGTTGATTTTCATGGAGCTGAACAATGCATGGAGCACGTTCGAGAATGATGCATCGCAGCAAAATCTATTTAGCTAATTTTAATAATTGTTATCCGTTATTGAAAACCTGTCTCTGTAATTAATTTAATTCCTAGCGGAAGGGGAGCTAAGAATGGGGCAGGAATCTCGTTAACCATGAGATGACTGCATCCATGTAATTGCATTCCGACTATGTTATTTTAGCTGTAGAGAGAAAGACAGGGTGCGAAAGAAAGAGAACGAGAGAGAAAGTAAAGTCTTCAGAGGCGACAGCGAGTTCGGCGAAGCGGTGCTTCGGGACGCGTCTCCTTATTGTTTCAACGCCTTGTAAACCTAGTTAAAATGCTCCCAATTATGGCAGTGTGGCGTAACGTATATGTATATAATGCAAATGTACATTAAAAAGAGGATCCCAAATATACGAAGCTATTTTCCGGCCGAAAAAAAACTTTGCACTATTGTCCACTGAAGATTCGAGGATTGCCGTAGAGGTATTCCGTATGTCACGATATTTATCATTATCTTAATTATGAAAAAAATTGCAATAAAAATTGTGCAATGCTATTAAATTGTAATACAATATCTTTTTGTTATGAAATTTAGAAAATCATATATATGCGTAATTACAATATATATATACAATTGTGCAATTTTATTTTTTCTATTAATTAGGACACGGAATACCATTACTGGTAAACAAGATATTAATAAAAAAAAATTTTTTTAATGAAATAAGCTGTTTTTAGTACATTTAATTTAATTTTGTTAATAAATTATTTTGATTAATTTAATAATTTAATGAAAGCATGAAACATTATACAAAAGAAACTTAAGATAGTTAATTACAGTTAAACAGACTTAATTATAATTGATACAATTCATTTTCAAACTTTGATATGAATAATTTCAGTTTTTCTTCAATATACAGTGTCTCAATATTTTTTGATTCAATATTTTTTGGTTAATAGAGATTCTTTGACTAAAATTAAAATAAAACTTTCCTTAAGTAAAATTTTGAAGATCATTGTTACAATTTTTTATCCTTTAGTAATTAAGTTTTGAATTAAAGATTCCAAAACAGTGTTTAGTTGAACTTAAATAATACATTTAATAAGTATATTCTATGTTACTTAATTGTTTGAAAATGTAGTTTGAAAAAATTTTATATTTGTCCACAGATTTAAAATTGTGAGCAGACTAACAACGAAATAAAAATCGAATATTTCTTTATACAATTCTAAAGTTTCCAGTTGAATCCCTTAAGTCCTGATTTATATATTTTTATTTTTCAGTTCTTCCACCATCTACAATCATCATATTTTTATAACTCGAAATCATTATTTTCTTCACTTATATTACTCAAAAAAGGATTCAAGTTGTCTCAAGAGACATTACAAAATCAGGTCACAACTTCTATGACATTTCGTTAGGAAGAGCTCAAGAAATTCGTTCTTTTTTAATTCATAGGACACTGTGAGAGACATTTATAACGGGCGTCAGCAAAATTCACGAGTATTAGTGGCATTGTCAGAAAGCCGCCGATACATGCAAGGATACACATACACCAAGGAAGACAGGCGCAATACATGTGTATATCACGAGCGCGCTCGTGTGGACCACAGGATGCCACAGGGATGAAATTTAAAGGGAGGGGCTGCTCTCGCGAAAATGGCCGTTACGCACGGGGTAGATCCGGGGGTGGACAAGTGATGGGTGGCTTATCGTCCGTGTCCTCCGCACCGACCAATTGACCGAGTGCCTCGCGACGATTGACACGGTTTACCCGATCGACGGCTATTATGCGGCGGTGGCTAAAAAGCGATCCCTGCTCTGCTCTTCTTAAACCCCCACCAGACGCGCGACCTTCTATCCCTTCCGTCAAGAGGTAAGGTCGTCTCTGTTTTGTGCATTCTCGAAACGCGTACGGATTACAGTTCTTAGAATGTGATTTAGAATCTCTCTTCCCTTTGAAGTGTATGCACGTTGTAACGCGAATCTATGTGCTTGTTGTGTCGAAAAAGTTATTTCGACAAATGCAAAAAAGAAAGTGGAACAGGGTAACTACCCTTGGTAGTGAAAGATACTGTTAAAAATCTTTTATTTATTAATTGTTGATATTAACAAATTATTGTTTAGCGTTTTACTTCGTAGTACATACAAAAATGGATTACTTTTTTTATATATATTTATAACAGTGCAAAATAAATAATAATTATAAGTATATCTTGCGCTGGAAAAATTTTTTATGAAGTATAATTTAAAAATGAATTATATACATCATGCACACGATTAGTGAAGTGCTAACAAATATTTGTTAATAGAAACTTATCTGCTATGTATTAATATATTAATGATACACATTAAAATAATATTTTAAACGAAAATGTTATTTTACAGATTAGACCTACGCTTCAACAATGTACATCAAAAAAGCTAAATAGAAAAAGAGGAAGGGGAGCATAAGGAAAACTGAGGAAGATGCCTAGCTCCTATACTGGAGTTGTAATTCTCCTCTTATTAGGGACTTCTATGTCAGTATCCGGTACCGCGGATGCTGCCAAGTCTCTGAGAGCGGCGAAGGCCAGACTCAGATCGTCTTACGCATCGTGGCGGATAGTGGTATGTTTAACTCAGCCTCAGACTCCTTTCAAGGCAGACGTACAGAAAGCATGGGAGGAAGCGAGACTGGAATCTTTTCATGCGGACATGGATGTGTCATATGTAGAAACAAGGATGACACCCATGACAGATTCCTTGTTATATCCCTTGTCAGTGTTAAACAAATTTTGTACAGACATCGAAGGCGGAAAGACAGTATTAAGCCTTATTATAGGGGGAGGATCGGCAGCCAGATTTCTCGTTACGGCTGCTGCTGCCTTGAACCTTCCAGCTCTGTGGTTACCGTTTACGCACAGAGACTTTCTTCGCCAGGTACACATTCACATTCACGAACTTTATCGCTTATATAATTACGATGTCTTATAATGTAAAGATAAAAGCGATTACTTTTTGTTTACAGGGAAATCTTGGCCGGTTTGAGAACCGTATAGGTTCGAGTCCCAAAGAAGTCGGAGCAGCAGCTGCCGCTTTAATGCATCGGGCTAATTGGCATGCGTTTACTCTTCTCATTGATACTACTCTCCTACCCGTCACTCATCTTTTACAAACGAATCCACCAACGTTAACACCTCGTGCAATTATACACCTTCCAACAAACGACAGAACTCTAAGATTAAGGCTGAGGCGAGTAGCCGAAGAAAGTGGCAGTGGCGGAGTCGTAGTAATGGCCTGCGATCTAAACAACGCCCGAAAGATTCTCGGTGCAGCCGGCAAGTTCGAGATGCTCTCGGGCAGATTCTTGTGGCTTTGGCTAGATCTTAAGGCGGAACTGCGACCGAACGAGCCCAACATCATCAGTTCGCATCTTCTTCACAGTTCGCGTGTTGCCGTTGCGACCAACGAAAATTTACCGCTGTTGCGAACGATAAATCTCGTGTCAGATGATAAGCGACTGCCCTCACTGAATCCGCTACAGAGTCTGACCAACGATATACATCGGCTGCAAGAGTATAGATGGCGAGATGAAAAGATCGTGACCAAGCGAGAGGATAAAAGCTTCAATTTTGAGGACGAAGAGGAGGTCGTGAAACTCCCAAGTGACAGAGAACTTAATTCCAAAAGTTTCATGCCGATCGGAATGCTTGCGCTCAGACCGTCTGGTATCAAAATCATGGGCGGTGACACCATACTAACTAGAATGCTGAGAGAGACCTCGCAGGCTTTGGACGAGACTTTCCTGGAAACAAAAACGAGGCTGGGTCGTATGCGCGAAGCGCAGATCAAAGAACACTTTGTACCGGAATGCTACTCGGATCGTAATACTAAATTCATGAAGAGCGACGCGCGAGAAAATGTATCTGCAATTTTGACGAGTAAGTTGAGGAAATCCATGGGACAAATCTCCAAGGACAAGGCAGAATTCCAATTGCTGAATTTGCAAGCTGTCAGGTTTCCCGGGAATAAGACTCAATTAAGGTACAACTTGTTCTTAAGATATTTGTATCTATCGTTAAAAGATGGAATAATTAATGTCATCAATGTTTAACAGGTGGACTAAGGTCGGTACTATCAAGGGAGGCAGGGAAGTCCGTTTAGATACCATAATCTGGCCGGGCGGCGGCATCATGCCGGCATATCTTGAACAGGGCGGCGAAAAGATCGGAATGCCGATTTATAGTATCGTGACCGTACAGGCATCACCGTTCACCATGATCACGAATTTACAAGATGGTTTCTGTTTGCGCGGCCTCACCTGCCGGCAAGGTAAAACTGTGATGTGCTGTTACGGCCTGAGTATGGATCTGCTGTCTTTAGTGGCGCGCGAGCTTGGATTTCGTTTCAATCTATATCTAGCGGAGGACGGATTGTTTGGTAAACAGAACAATCGGAACGGCACATGGAACGGCGTGATGGGTGAGCTGGTGTCTGGTCGGGCACAGCTAGCGTTTGCGGCCTTGAGTGTATCTACCCATCGTGCCAAAGTGGTGGATTTCACCACGCCGTACTACTTCAGCGGCGTGAGTTTTCTCACGGCGCCGAAACTACGTTCTGAGATACCGCTATTTGCGTTTCTGTTCCCGTTCAGCACGGAGTTGTGGATCGCCGTGTTTACGTCACTGAATCTCACCGCGATCGCCGTCGCTCTCTACGAATGGTTTAGCCCGTTCGGCTTGAATCCCTGGGGCAGGCAGCGCAGTAAGAACTTCTCCATCGCTTCCGCGTTGTGGGTGATGTGGGGCCTTCTGTGCGGCCACCTCGTGGCCTTCAAGGCGCCAAAGTCTTGGCCTAACAAGTTCCTTATTAATATTTGGGGCGGCTTCTCCGTTATCTTTGTGGCCTCGTACACGGCTAATATAGCTGCCCTTATCGCCGGTCTCTTTTTTCATTCTGCAGTGAGCAACTATCATGATAAAAGCGTGAGTATCTTGACTCTTTATAAATTCACGAATGCTTATAAAGATAAGAATTAGTGTAAGGAGTAAAAGGAAAAGAATTTCTGAGAGAATATTTTCTGTTAATTATTTAATAA